TTTTTTAAAGTAATTACAAAATGATACATAAATTTCTTCAGTTATAATATATATTATATAAGTTATAGCCACAGATGCCGAAACTTTGGGAAAAATAAAACGGAAAAGGTATTGAGAAATGGTTATTTAGGGAGCTGTGGCCGACTTTACAACCGGTAAGTTGGCATAGGCTCTAATTGAATGAATGGGACAATATTCCAAAATAAGCCTTTCGAAGGCTGATTCGAAGCTAGTTATTTAGTTCAAAACTGTTTTAAACTAGTTTAAACACCTTTGTTTGTTCTGATTTGATATCAACAAACTTTTTTTAGACATATAAGTCGCGGCGTTCTCTATACATGGTATATGGTATATATAGAGAATGCCGTGTATAAGTACTTAAAAATTAATTTTAGCTTGTTATAATTTTTTCTAGTGACCTATGTACCATAATTAAATAAACTAACAAAGGTTAAATTAAATACATATTTCATATTTCTAAATAAATAATAGAAAAAAATTAATTCGAAAGCGTAACCACTTTTATTGTTTGAGGAGTGTATTTTTATTTGTCAACGTGTGTTCTATAATTAATCATTTTTATTATGCATATTTTAATGTTGCCGGTGGTTTAAGATCGGTTCTTGGATATATGATATAGGTACCGTACGTATAATATAATACGGAATTTAACTTACTTGCTAGAAGATATGTAATAAGTTGAAGAAGAATGTAATTAAAAATATTATTAAAAAAGCTACATTGTTTGATTGAACCTTTACAAAAAACGTCTCCACAACAACAAATCGGCAACAAGAATTGCCGCGTGAACGAAGAGAAAAATAGGATTCTGCATGAACGAACACAATAAAGGAATTATATGTGCACCTGAATATCGAAATAAAAGAGAATAAGAAATAGGATTTTGTTTTTTCGGCGATGCGGCTGCTGGTTTATTGAACTTACTCGGTTGCCAATGCGAATGGCATGCCAATAAATGAGGGACTCAGTGTCTCAGTGTACATTTCCATCCCGGTGCCCCGCAAATAGTCATTGGTCCACACCTGCATGTCTGGAGACTGCAATAATTTAACACTTTTCGTGAGCATTTGTCCCTTTAATAGCCTCTCTCAAACCCATTACACAAATTACATTTCAACCACGTTCAATATTGTGTTTAACGTTGATGATTCAATTACATTTATGTTCTGGTTGTACAATATTCACTCAAGAGTTAGGCAGTAATTTACATTTTGTTTTGGGAACATTTTAGTTTACAAGAAAATATTACGTAGCATACTAATTCAAATATAAGTTGGCATGTGTTTTTTGACCATAATTAAAAACTATATACATATTAATATATTATATATACATATATGTACATATGAGGAGCGTTTATTCAAAAAGGGACATGTCCATTTTAGCGATTTTCAGAAATAAGTCAAAAGCAAAAGAATTCTGTTATTTTTGACTTGTTTCTGCAAATCGCTAAAATGGACATGTCCCTTTTTGAATAAACGCTCCTCATATATGTACATTATATATATTATATATACATATATGTACATATATATATATATATACATATACAGGGTGTCCCAGAACTCGTGCCACGGAGAAAAAGGGGATGTGCTAAAATAAAAAAAAATTTAAAAAAGAATGCCATAATTCAGGACGCAAATGTTTTAAACTAAAAATTAAACAACTAAGGTGCTGCACTCGCGTAAAATGAACGTCCTTCACAACCCACAGAACTGTGAACGGAAAATTCGCGTGCAACTTCCCGTATGCTCTTCATACTATTTGCATCAAAAGCATTGAATATAGCTTTTTTATTTTTCACTTTTCTAATATGTTAAGGAGCACCTTCAATTTCTTTACAATGCAGAACAACTTTACAGTCTAGGGGACGATCGGGAAAGCGCTGGGAAAAAACTTGTGCTGCCTCCCCAGCATTGCGCCCATACTCTCCATAAATAATCATCATTTCGGCATAATCAGAGGAGGAAAACAAAACTTAAAAGTATAAATAATGACAGGAACAAAAATTGATAGCAGTATCATACTGAAGTGGATTCCTGTCGACCAAATAATTTACATAATATGTAATTATCTTACGCAAAAGATAAGTGAGATAAGAATAAAAAACGATAGCCAATCTTAATACATGACCATAGAAAATTATTTAAATTGCTAGAATTCTTAGGATGGATTGTTGATAATAATTATTATCAACAATCCATCCTAAGTATTCTAGCAATTTAAATAATTTTGTATGGTCATGTATTAAGATTGGCAATCGTTTTTTATTCTTATCTCACTTATCTTTTGCGTAAGATAATTTTAATTTTCGCATAACTTTCGGCACGTTCCCTTTTTCTCTGTGGCCCGAATCCTGGGGACACCCTATATATACAGGATGAATCGGAAGGATCGCACTAAACTCTATGACTGCATTCTACACATCAAAATAATAAAAAAAACTCAACTGATCTTATCCGATTCTTATTTGTTTTCAAGTTATAGCGAAATTAAAAAAAAAAATTAAAAAAATAAATTATTATCCAATCTTCTTTGAAAAACTATGGAAACAAAGTTTTTGTTTACATTTAAAAGGCCTAACTGTCAGCGTCAGTGGTATTTTTGTAATTTTCCAGTTTAAATTTTTTTTAAATGCCAAAAGTTTATTCAAATTTAGAGTATGCTAATATGGTTTTTGTTTATGGCTTTTGTAATGGCAATGCCACAGCTGCTGTAGAAGAATATCGGCGACGTTTTCCACGTGAAAGGGACAAAAACGTGTTTATTCGTGTTTTTAACAAACTTTGCGGGACTGGAACTCTTCCAAGTGCTAAAATAACATCTGAAAAAGCTGATCGACAAACTTTAGAAGAAGTGGAAAATATTTTGGATCTAGTGGAAGAAGATGGAACGACCAGCACCAGAAGAATCGCTACTCAATTGGACATTTCACAAAAACGGGTAATACATACACTTCACGAGCAAGGCTTATACCCATACCATTTACAAAGCGTACCTACGGTTTCTACACCCGGAAGATTATGCTAAACGTGTGGAATTTTGTCGGTGGGTAACGCACAACTCTCACGTATGGTCTGACGAAAATCCCCATGCTATAGTCGAAACCAATTTTCAGCACAGGTTTTCAGTAAATGTGTAGTGTGCTATGATTGCTGGGTATTTAATTGGCCCTTTTATTATGGAGAATCGCCTCACAGGGGAACACTACCTTAATTTTTTAATAAATGAGTTGCCAGGATTACTAGAGAATGTCCCTGTAAACGTAAGAAGGCAAATGTACTATCAGCATGATGGAGCCCCTGCACATTTCGCTCCTGAGGTCAAGGAACAATTGGATGAAATGTTTCCAGAGCATTGGATTGGTCGCGGAGGTCCAATTAGTTGGCCTCCAAGAAGTCCAGATCTAACACCACTAGATTTTTGTTTATGGGGTTGGTTTAAAACAGAAGTTTACAAAGTTAAAGTGAATAATCAAGAGGCACTAACTAATTCAACGAATAATTAATACTGGCGCAGTTCTTCAAGAAAAACACGAGTTAATAGGACAAGCAACAGGCGCTGTTCCCAGACGTAGCAGAGCATGTTTAGGGGTATTTTTGATCACCTTATAAAATGTCATAACTATTAAACAAAAGTTACCGTTTCATTTTATTTATTTTTTAATTACGCTATAACTTCAAAACAAATGGGAATCGAATAAGAACATTTGAGTTTTTTTTAAATTATTTTAATGTGTTGAATGCAGTCCTAGAGTTCGGTGCGATCCTTTCGATTTACCCTGTATATATATGTATACAAAATTAAAAAACACATGTTTTCTTAATGTAGGTATAAGAGGATAACATTAACATTAACTTTGGAAAAATTGTGTTTTTGATCCTTTTTGAAGTACAATTTTTGTTGAGAACATTATTTTTCTACTTGCGTATCATAATAAATATCTCAATACGATAGATTTTTTTTACAAATTTGGCTACACGATATGACAATATTATTGAAAACGTCAGTTAGCACAATAAAGAATACTTTTTACCATTAATAATATTTTAAGAGGGGCATAATAAATTTTATTAGTAATTATGCAATTAATAAACACTTTAACAATAATACTGCAGTCATGTATTAGATATTATATGACAAAAAATGACAAAACGTAATTTGTATGCTTTTACACAAATTAAATATAGGTACATACAATAAAAAAATATTGAAAATTAGGCTTTTAACAAATTTACTTGAAGTGTGACACATAAAAAGTTTCCAGGTACTGGAATCCAGGAATGTATTTTATTAAATAAATTTTATGATTGTTGAGAATTGAGGTTAAGTTGACATTCGGTACTACCAACTGAATAATAAATTTCTAAATATAAAAAATAGTATAAAGAATTAGGTAATCTCACAACAGTTACTGTTAAAATAAAAAAACAAGTTTAACAATGTTTGTAATTTCGTTTCCTATCTTCTAGTGTTTAAAAGTTATATAAACGCGAACTTAGTTTAAAGCTTACTTTTCAATAATTTATTAATCAATAAGGTTTAGGGAGGGCCAAGTTTGACAGAATTCAATAATTTTTGTTGCTTGTAGTGCACATTTATAAAAACCTTTAAACAATTTTTTTCCAAGGATGCCATATGGTCAATTAAGAAATAGTAAAATTTTGGGGTGGCACGTTTTTTTGTTACCTAAAAATATGATTTATCTTTTACAGCTTTTGAGTAAGTAATAAAAGAGCAATTTATATTAACACTTTTTATATGGTATGGTATTGTTCTTAAATTTTACAAAAAATGACATTTAGGTAATTGTTTGTACATAAAAACACTATTATAAAACAAACTCGTCAATATTGATTGTTGCAATATCAAACTTTATCTTTTACTTATTTACCCTTTGTTTCTGCTGTTGATAAATTTCATTAATAAAACGTTGATCGCATCGAATCAGTTTATCGCTCGATGATTAAAAAACTTACCGTTTTAAAGGATCGCATGGCAAACAAGTTCGCCATCATTGTCGAGAATCCCGGTGCCAGGCAGGATTGCGCTATGAAACCTAATTTTAGTTCCGCCAAACAAATGACGTCATCGCCCTGCTTCCAGTCCCAAGATGGAATGTTCAGTAGATAAGCCTGAAAACGACAACTTTCTTTTTATTTACGGATTTTGTTATTTTTGCAGCTTATCTTGGAAAATATAAAGTCAATTCATGTTGGTTCTATTATTTCAAACTCAAATACCTACTCGTTTTTATTACATTTTTTAAAAGAGCAAGTACTCAAACGACAGGATATCATTCTTCAAAATTAAGGATTCATTTTTTAATAATGCTTCTGATATTTCCCATTTTTATTAGCCATTCAATTCCTAATTCCAAATTTAAATTATTTTTTATAGGATCCAAAATGAAGGGTGTCTATATTTATTTAAAACTTTTTTTATATTATTTTAGCCACTCACTTTTTTATAATGTTTTTTCTTTATTTGTTCGCTATTTGCACGAAGTTTGTATTCGTCAATTAGTAGGGAATGCAATCTTGGTATACCAAGATCTCGAAATAATAAGATCTCGCACTAATTCTGCCAGATTAGTCTTGCACGAAAATCATGCGCGATCTCGCAAGATTTGCGTGATTAGGACGCAGCGCATTCCATGTGTTTTTTGGGTTTTTTGAGAAGTCATTTTCAAAATAATGTATAGTTTTTTCAATAAATAATTTTAGACTTGCTTCAATAGCTTGATGATTATTCGTATTATTCGACTATTTCACGAATATTTTTTTAAAAATTAGAATTAACTGCCGATTCAATTTCTGCATGATTTTTTTGACCAAAATGAATATTTTTTGACATTAATATTTTAAAATTAGAAACGTCAACATTGTCAATTATTTTTCGCATAGCAACCAATTGATTGGTCGTATAAACGAGTGGTTTTTTTACCTAAATAGGTAGTAGTTTTATCGCTGAAAAAAATACTCGTTTTCTGAAATCTGATTGGTCCATAAAGTAATGAGTGGAATAGTCTTAAATAAATTATTTAATTTATGGTTTATTTCATTATTTCGCCTTTACGATATAACCTAATAAAGTTGTAATACAACTATTTATACTAATTTCTTTTTTTATTAATCTTAAATCTGCGAGATCTCGCAAAATACCGAGATCTTGCGAGATTACACCTCTTAAATCTTGCTATACCAAGATTGTGCATTTTCCTGCAAGATTGCATTCCATATTAATTAGGTTAGGGTTATGGATACGAATAACAGATTTTTATTCATATACAGTGGTCGGGCACAAAAAATGAATTTTATTATAGTATTCAAAATTTTAACAATGTTATTAAAATATAAAAACAGTCAGTTTATATTATGGTGGAAATTAACTTTTATAAAAAAAATTGCACTTTGATATTATTTTATGTCCTCTGGTGCCTTGTTTGTCTACCTGTCTAGCCTTGTTTTGCATAATCAATTTCCGTTTGTTTTTATTAATTGTCAACCCCTTTTAAATTTTATTTTTAAATATTAGGCAAATAAATGCTATCTTGAACTAGCATTGTAATATGGCAAAATTCTGGCCTGTATCTATCGTATTGTAAAGACAAGGAAGCTTTTGTGTAAGCTTTGAGCAATCTATTTTAATTTTGATATATTGTCCAGTCTCTTCTGTCTAGTTTTCTATGGTGTTTAGGCTTGAACATCTCTTAAAATTAATTAGTCAAAAATAACTAATTGTCATAGCAAAAAAGCAGCTACTAATAACTGCAGTCCACATAAATTTGTATCTTGGACATTTAACAGTAAACACCTTTATAAAATTGTCCGCTGAATTAGAAAATATCGTCAAAAGTTATAAAAGTGGTACAGATTTTTAGATATAGTAATTTTTCCATATAATATGGAATGAATTTTAGTTCTAACCTAAGATCTTTAAATTAAATTTAAGTTGCCTACCTTATTGTGATATTGCATGAGCTGTATAATAACTCTGATGTCGTCACTGTAATTTTTGATCGAAATGACTCGCATGATGTTTGCTGCATCTTCTGCGTCAGGATCTTGGCAGTATTTGTTTGCAAGCACCAGGCAAGCGTCGGCTTCGTGTACCTGTTAAATTTATGTGGTAAAATATATCTTACAGAAACCCCAAAAATAAATGATTTAAAAATTCAAATAAATACTTTATAGTATCTTTGAATTCATAAAATGTTGATTTATTTATTTTTATTTTTATATGTTTACTATAAGCTCAAAGTAAATATAATTGATATATTAAAAATGTGAATATTTGTGTTTTTAAAATACTAAATTAGTGTTTATTAAAAAATATTTAAAATATTGTGATAAATAAAGAAAATGCATAGAAAATATGAAAGTTTTATTAACAAAAAATTTAATATTGTTATATGATAAATTGAGGTATGTAGTTACATATATTGAAATAAGCTAAGAGTATATCAACTATTTTTTTTATCTAAGTAATGTATTTTTTCTACGTAATTATTTTTTTGTGAAAACCATGCAAGTTTAATAAATAAAAATAACTACCATTCCACAAAAGTTTGTCGCCAAACATAACAAAATACTAACTTTTTAATACAAACTGCATTTTTGTGCTTGTTCTTCGCTAAGTAATAGTAGTAATATGTATTAAAGTGAAAAATTTCAACTTTAACTATATACATGCACAATGTTGCCTAAATGAGCGGTCATAAGGGTTGGCTGGATTTTTAAATAAGTATATATATATATATATATATATATATATATATACTTATTTAAATTAAAAAGGTGTAATTTTTAAAAAAATGTAATTTGAATATTTTATACTTAAATTAAATTCCCAAAAAATTTATTTCACAGTCATTTCAGTTTGGTTTTTTGTAAACAAATTTAATAACTAAAACCAAAATTAAATTTCAAACAAATGTACTACTTTTTAATCCTTAGCCAACCCTAAGTAAATATTCAATAAGAGCGTTTTAAGGCTGTTACCAATTTTTTAAGAGCCAACTTACCAATATTTGGCCCAGGATTCAATGGGGGATAAGAACTCAATTTTTCCTATAAACTATTGTATAGAGATTTTTGACTAATTTAAACCATGTCCAGTTTTATTTTAGGATACTTATTTTTTGTTAGCCTACTACAATAAACAAAAATATTTTTTAATAAATGGGTCTATAAAACATAATTTTACAATTACTTTTCTAAAAAACTTGACAATTTAAAATATTGCCATTTGCCATTTGTGGAGTGGAGAGCAGAAAGACGATTCTTAAGAAAAAAAAGCATATACACTTGACATCCCAAAACATTTTGAAGAATTTTATTTAATTTAAATTAAGGTTTTTGATAGAAACCCTTTAGAATATAATAAAGGATATTTTAAATTTAAAGCCTCCGTCCATCTTCGTTGGTCCACCCGATAAAATATAAGTTATAATAATTGGCGTGTATCAAAGATTATTTAAACGAATAGAGGTATAATAATTAATAATCGATTAAATTTTGAAAAAATATTGCACAAAAATAATGTACATAATGAGTAACATCAACTTTATTTTTAATAATTGCTTCAATTCTTCTTGACATAGTATTAACTAGATTCTGATACTTTACTTAAGTAAAATTATGCCAAATGTTCTGGAGCCTTTTAACCTGTCAACTTCCGCTTTAGGGTCAATAACGGTCTTTCTTTAGCCTTCGTTAAAGGAAAAAATAATTATCGTTTGCGCTCATTAAAAAATCTTACAATAAAATAACCAAATCCCAGAGTTTTCTGTAGCCCAGCAAACACGTCTTCCGATAGCCTCATTCGACTAAGCTTAACTCTTCGCAGTTATCACGTCTTTTAGACTGGGCATTTTAACTATTTAACTTGTATAATTTTACAATATTTTAAACACTTTGTATCCATTTCAATCGCGCGAAACGCACGAATTACAAAACTGTTTTTAGAAAAAAAATTGTAGATAATTTTCTATATAATATTTTGGCATCAAAATTGTCAAAAATATTCTACTTATTAGGATATACATTAAATTTAAAAAAACGCAAGAAATATTTTATAAAAGAGATAATTGTAATAATTGAAAGGTGTGGACGGGACAAAAACAGATTTATCTTGTCCCGTCCACACCTGTCAATTATTAAAATTATCTTTACTTGCGTTTTTTTAATTTAATGTATAGCCTAATAAAAGAAGAATATATTTGACAATTTTGATGCAAAAATAATATACGTATAATAAATTAACAACAATTTGTTTCTAAAAACAGTTTTGTCCTGTCCGTATGCTTGAAATGGCCGTATAGATAAATAATTAATTAATCAAAATTAGAATATTATAAAATTCCAATTTTTTTTTTCAGATTTGTATTAATAAATGATAATTAATCGAATTTTTTTCTTTGCCACCTTAATTCCTGTCTTTAGTAGTATTACTTGGGTAATAAAATGCAAGGAAACTACTAATTTTGACTATTTTCGATTTTTTTTGAGAGACAACACGCTCTTGAACCCAGATCTTTCCTTTATTCCTCTAAATAGCATATCTGTCTTACATATTACATTCCAGAGGATAGTTTTGTTCCTTGAGCAATAAATGCCAACAACACTACAAAGTTTGTTTGTGGTCCAACTGAAACTGGACGGGCTCGTATATTACGATACAATGTACAATGTATACCTACTGTTTTAAATAAAACTAAATATTAAATTAGATTTAGAATACTGGACATGGTCTCTACTATTTACCCATAGCAAATTTAACAAAATCAACATTTACATAAACGTACCTATATTAAGTAAGCATTAAAATAGTTAGTAAGTAGTTAGCAAATACTAAAATGTTGACTTTGATAAAATTGTTTCTAGAGGTACTAAATGTTATTTTTTTGTATAAGAAATTTATTAAGAAAAACGGCCAAATTAAAATCGCGAAAAAAATTGAGGACAATTTCGCGTATGAAATGTTTTTAATAATATTTCATTAGTCCAAAACGGTTATGGAACCAAAGTAAAAAAGTTATTTAAACCCATAGATATATTTAGAGATATTTTATATTATTGGAAGAAAATTTTACTAACCGGATTTATTTCTTATTTGATAAAAATACATTTTTAGGTAATTTATTATTCAGGGTGTCTCATAAATTGCGCACCACCTTGAAGGTGGATGATCTTCGGAACCCCAGGAATCCCAGAAATTTGTGAAAAAATTCTACCTTGTATATTTAAAAAGGTATGAAAGCATAAACATTGAATTTTTAAACTTAAAAATAATAGGTTTACTTTTAAGTCGTATTTTATGTATAGGTAGGTCTAATGTACAGAATGTTCAAACAATGGTTTCATTGGGAATCAATTAAATGTTTAATCTTATGAAAAAATGCATTTTAGGATTTTTACTTTAACAATACGCATGCGTTTGCGTCTGTTGACATCAGACCATAGATAACACAGGCGCACAAAAAAAAAGTGGAATGAACTTTAAATGTGAGTATACTACCCCTATGGATTTTGACCGCTGAATCGCTGAATCCGAATCCGATCTCAGAATTTCCCCTGGACCCCCAGTTTTTCCCTAGCCTAGGGAAAATGCGTGAATTTTTATAAATTTCAGTATCTGTGAAAGCAATTTTCATCTACGGAATATTAAATGAAACATATTGTTTTCACGTATCTCGAGTCGCTTAGTTTAAATCTCACTGTAGAATTTCCATAGATTACCTCAGAACTCCACTAGCCTAGGGGAAAAAGTGTTAAGCTGAGCAAAACTTTCGATTTTTGGAAGGTTGAATTTTTTAACAAGAAAGATTATATATTTTCGTATTTTGAGTTCCTGAATTCATATCGGACGTAAAAAATTTTCAGAATTTCCCAGGCCTATGGAAAAACGTAGAAAATTGTGCAAAAATCGAAGTTTCATGCAGGCCTTTTTCGCACGGGAAAGCTGATACCGTGTTCATTTTTGTCATCAGAATTTTTATCCAGCTTCTCACAATTACCCTAGCCTACGAAAAATGTGCAAAGATAAGGGAAAATTTCTTAGGTAACTTTAAAATTATAATAAAATAGTAAAAAACATGTTGCAAAGATTTTAAGAACACTTCCCTGAAAATCTTGGTGATTACAGTGAGGAACAAGGATATCAAAGAAATGGAGCGACATTATCAGGGATAATGGGATAAACACATGATGACAGATTTTTGCTGAATGTTGAAGAGGGATGTTGCAGGTAAAAGCAAAAAAAAAGAGGAATCTACTCCGTCAGACGTTTGACGATAAAAGAACAAAGAAAATACGAACGAACTAATATTATGCAATTTTGTAGAGGCTAGGGCAATTGTGAGGAGCTGGATTAAAATTTTGATGACAAAAATTCACACGGCAACTCAGAAGACGGAAAGATATCAGCTTTCCCTGTACGAAAAAGGCCTGCATGAAACTTCGATTTTTGCACAATTTTCTACGTTTTTCCCTAGTACTGAGTATTGTGGAACATTTTTCACGTCAGATATGAATTCAGGAACTCTATATATATATATATATATATATATTAGGGTGTGCCAAAAAAACTCGATATTTTTTTTTTCTTGCTCTCCACCCAAAATATCGTAGAATATGTCCAAACAAATATTCTGTTAAAAGCGGAGCTCATAATTTCAATTTTAAGAGGTCCCTCATCCTATCTGAAGTTTTGCCGCTTAAATAACACAGAAAACTGACTTTTTTACCTTATTTATTCTTGCAACCTAGGAAGAATTTTTTTTTTTCATAAAATCCATGACTAATTCTTACAAAGCATTAAATTTGGACAAAAAATCTTATTAAGCCGAATTTCTATTTTCATTATTTGATTTTTTCCAGAGCTTTAAATTTAAAGTTAATAATACAAAAATGATGACTTTATACTCCTGTAACTTTTAGAATATTAACGATACAAAAAATTCGCCTAAAACTTTCATGTGGTCCATCAGACAAGCTAAAAAATTGCCATTTGACTTTTTTGTCTAACTTCAATAGTTTAGCTGAAAAAGGCAAAAAACGTAAAATTTGAAATTTAAAGCTCTGTAAAAAATCAAATAATGAAAATAGAAAATCGGCTTAATAAGATTTTTTCGTCCAAATTTAATGCTTTGTAAGATTTGGTCATGGATTTTATGAAAAAAAAAATTCTTCCTAGGTTGCAAGAATAAATAAGGTAAAAAAGACAGTTTTCTGTGCTATTTAAGCGGCAAAACTTCAGATTCGATGAGGGACCTCTTAAAATTGAAATTATGAGCTCCGCTTTTAACAGAATATTTGTTTGGACATATTCTACGATATTTTGGGTGGAGAGCAAGAAAAAAAAAATATCGAGTTTTTTTGGCACACCCTAATATATATATATATATATATATATATATATAAGCTTTCTTGCGCAAAAATATAATCTTCCAGAAATAGCAATATTGCGTATATAAAAATTGGTTTTACACGTACTGAAATTTCTAAGATTTCAAGTATTTCCCCTATTTCCATTATTATTTATGTTAATTGACTGTAATTACCCCAATTTTCCCTAGACAAATTTATTTAATGGTTAACATTTTAGTATAAAAGTAAAGTAAGGATTAAAAAAAAATATTGATTGTATATCTGTAGTACTATATATATAAAATAAAATATCGTACTGGTTGCCACAGTTTTATAATTTTAATATAAAATATTTATACCTATATCCTGTATAGTTTTAAATTAGTATTAATAAATAAAGGCATAAAATAATAACCAAACATAAAAAACTAGGGATAAAAGACTTAATTGATGTAATAATACATATAAATATTTAGTAAATTTAAAAAAAATAATAAAATTAACTCGTTTATCCATTAAAATTTTTAGTTCACATAAAATATCCACAAAAATGTTTTGTAAAAACAACAAAAATAAAAAACATCGAGGCCGTCTTATTTCGTTGGTATTTATTTAAACTTACCTTGACCCTTTGCAGGTCAATGGGGTTCATGATGGTACCCTGGAAGAACTCTACCGTTGTGAAATGTCTCTTGAAGAGACCTTCCAGTTCAAGATCAGGCGGCTTCCTACACATCGCATAATTTTAAAAACAAAAAAAAAACAGCTTAAAAGTAACAGACAAAAATACGAAAAAATAAATAAACAAATCGACTCGTTATAGAGGCTCCTAATTCGTACTAGATTCTCGTTCCTTCGGCATTCCCTTTTGTTGAGCAAAATTCGTTTTTAAATACCATGCAGCTGTGACTATTTATATCCACTACTCTGCAAATGCGGTTACAATAGGAATTATTCTTTTTATAATTAATTTTTATATTGTTTTAATAAGTTAATACATATGTAGATATAGAGGAAAGGAAAATTTGAATAATTATATGTATGAGCAAATATAAAGTAAATATTTTTTGCTATTTGTTTAACTAAAGGGTCAACTCTATGTCTAGACATACTAATTCGATTCCTAGAAGTTTGAAATATAAGTAAACAAATTCATTACGGTTTTATGGTATCTTAGAGCTTGCCGTTTTTTAGATAATACAATTATATTTTATTTATTATATATAATCAGGTACGTGCCTAAAACTTTATTATTATTGGAGTGATTCTTGGACAATAAATTATCGGGGGTAATTACACAAGTGCTTAAAAATTATCGATAATTTTGCTTGAAAGCATATTGCCTAAAAATGCATGAGTTCATTTTCATATTTTGGAAAGCTCTTTCCTCAAAATATGAAAATGACCGAATGCATTTTTTAAAGAGCAATATGCTTGAATGATATTTATTTTTATGCACGAGTGTAATTTGTTTAGATAATTACACGAATAAACTAATTAAATCAAAGAATAACATTTTGAAATATTTTAATTTCAACACAAAACTTCATTTAACAAATAATTAAAATGTAAACTAAAAAAATTAATAATTATGAAAAACGTGACATTTTAAATAACTTTCACCATAGATAACAAAGCCTTTAAAATAAAAACTGACGTTATTTTTATTAATTGCCATGGATACGTAGATGGTTGCCGAGATACAGGGTCTTTAAGTTTAAGGGTCAAATATTTGGAACTAATTATTCAGTGAGAAAATTTTAAAATAAATAAAAATCCGTTAGACTTTTTTTATAAGATTTTTTCCGTTTTTTTAATAATAATAAAAAAAACTTTTTTAAAAGAATAAATAAATTTTCTTTTTCTTTTTAACTTTTCTAAAATTTCGTCCTTTATTCCATAAATGAAATGTTGCGTTTGTCTTAAAAAAATGTTGTGCATTTTTCCATTTCGTGATTTGACATTTTTATATTTGTTGTGTCACCAAAATATGGTGAAACGATAAACAAACGTATGGTATATTATTTACTAAATAACAGTGACAAACTCACCGAAAGACAATTTAGATAAATTTTGTATTTATAAACCTAAATTAAATGTACTTTAACCTATAATTTATTAATGACATACATTATTTTTATTTACTTATTTTCATATACTTTTTGGTTTAAACTTAATAATTCCAGAAGGGCAATATCGTACCCACAAACTCCATTTAGGAAACAAAATATTAAAAAAATAAGCTTTTTAAGTATTTACTTGTGAAAAACATTGGCACCGACAAAAACACAGTTAAGTGGTCTTAGTTCACAAAATTTAGGAAAACCTACTTCCAGGTCAGGATAGGTATTTTTTTAATGAAAAATATTATTTAAATTACGCAAAATCAACCGTTTCAGCACTTGTTCACGGGATCCATCCGCTTTTTTCATCAAAACACAATCTTTCATTCCTAGTAGTATACGACTATTTTCGTCATCATTATAGATCGCAACTATCAAAGGGAGAATTTATTGTTAAATTTGGCTTCGCTAGTTTATTTAAATTACGCAAAATCAACCTTTTCTGCACTTGTTCACGGGATCCATCCGCTTTTTTCATCAAAACACAATCTTTCATTCCTAGTAGTATACGACTATTTTCGTCATCATTATAGAACGCAACTATCAAAGGGAGAATTTATTGTTAAATTCGGCTTCGCTAAAAATTATAGCTTACATTTCGCATTTTGCATAAAAAAAATTATGAAGAAACAATATTTATAAATATTATACCACAGTTTTTTAATTACAAATATAGCCAAAAAATTTAAAGCGGTATTATGGCAGTTTTATCCGATAGTCTTAAACATGACATGTTCTTTAAAAAAAATTGATTAATTTAAAAAAAACATTTTATTCCCAATAAAATTATCACAATAAAGATTTTGCCGAATGGCACTTTCAATCAACTGCACATGGCAAAAGTTCCTGGTGAGAACTTGAAAAGGCGGAAAGTTTACAAGCGTCCTCAAAAGATGTTAAATTGTAATGCTCTCTATACATAGGCCAAAAAAATACGATAAACAAAATTTACGAAAGAGAAGTTTATGAAAAAATAGCAGATGAACTCAAAGATTGATTTTATTCCGCAAAAACAATTTCGGAAACACAAAAATATAATTCATTTGTTTCTGTTTTCGAAACAAATCTCAAATTAAAAAATATTCGTTACACAATTATTTTGAAGGATTTGTTGCAGGGAGGTAAAACATAGTGAAAATTAAGAGTGGAAAATTTGTCCATTTGTTGTTATAGAGTTATTGAAAAAAAATCACCCTTTAACTTTAAACATTCTTAAAAAGATATTGTTGCTACAAAATATATTTAAAAAAACGTCTGCCACTTTAAAGTAAAAAAACACATAAAACAAAAATATTTTAACAATGTCATAGCTACCTACCTAATTAAATTATATAACACAACAAATTGGAGAGACTTCGCGATAATAATATAAAATGACATGAATACTTCTCAATAAAAAAATATACTTTTTATATCTTACCATTATTTTCCTACCCAAGTAACATTTTTAGTTTTATTATGGTCTTCAAGAACGCTTTAAAACAAAATTTTGTTTTAAAGCGTTCTTGAAGACCATAATGAACTTTGAAGACCATAATAAAACTAAAAATGTTACTTGGGAGATTTATAAAAAAAAATCGTAAAAAGTTACAATTTCCAGTCTTAATTTTCAATTTGTTTTAGCTCCCTGAATTAAATCCACAAAGTACGGGTGTCAATTTTGGGACTGTATTTATTATTGAATTTAAGTATAACTTTTTTACAAGTAAATACTTAAAAAGCCTATTTGGGTACAATTACAGGGGATAATAATAATTATAATAATAATTAAGTTTAAACCCAAAATGTCGCAAAAAAATAAAAATACTGTATGTCATTAGTAAATTATAAGTTGAAGTACATTTAAAGTTTTTGCTGTATACAAACCTCTGGATACTTGTTTCAATATTGTTGTTTGCATTATAAACATGCATAACTCGTACAATTTTAACGTTATAAGAAAATTAAAAAAAAATTGTGCTCCAACTACCCTATTTTCCACTTAACTTACCCCTTCATATATAATTATTTAAAGTATATGAATTTAATTTTTAACTAAATTGTTTAAATATTGATAGAAACTTTTAATATTATTATTAAAAAGTACGGAAAAATCCTATAATATTATTTTGGCGGGTACACTTGGGTCGTAAATACTTGCTTTTTGGTATAAACTATACGGTATTTTAAAATTTATTCATTTTCAACAGTACTTTTAAAATCTTTCAGATACTTAAAAGGAATATTCCTATTGCAATCGCTCTGAATATAATAATAAAAATTTATAAGAGAAAAATAAAGTGCTGCAATGATAATAAAAAGCAATTTATGGATTAACACACGAACGATCAAAAGTTTGTTTTCATCCAAAAGTTTGATGAAACAGTCGTTTTTAAGGTACCTTGACGCGTTCAAGGTCAACTGCGTTCATCATTGTTCCCTGAAAAAATTCCACGGTTGTGTAGTGACGTTTCAAAAGTCCCTCCAATTCCAGGTCCGGTTCTTTTCTAAAAATTAATGTTACGACAAACGTAGAGCCCCAAACTTAGTTTTACCTTTATACTGCTTTTTAAAATAAACAAAATTTTAAATATATTTCAGATAAAAATATTCAAAATATAAATATTTACCATGAACTTCATGGCATGAAGTCTAAGTGAATTAGATTACTCAAAGCATTTGCTTTATTAAATGTTTGGCATTTTATTTATAAATTATTTTATTTATTAAATTGTAATATACCAACGAGTAAAAATAATGCAAAAAACATACTATTTCATAGTTACAAAAATGGCGAATGCGCCGGGACGAATACATTGAAATGCAAAAAAGATAAACTGTGTATTTAAATTTGATATTAAATATGAAATGTAACTAATAAAAGTATATTTTGGTTAATTTGGTTTTAAGAGTATACGTGCGAATACCCAAAGGCAACAATAAAATATCTTAAAAATTAGTCCTTGAAAATAACCTTTTAAATATTTATAATTATTTTTTGTAATTATAATGTTTTATCAAATTATTAACAAGTGAACGCAGTTTTCCAACACAGCACAGTTAAGTATCACTACCATAATTTGAGATTTAATTTAGAATAAAATTTAAATTATATAAAAAATTAAGTGATACGTTAGCAATTTGTTACGGAAGCGTAGAAGGGCCACAGAAATATACGTTACGACTTATAACTCGGAATTCCGACTTATAACTCGGAATTTCGACTTATAACTCGGAATTCTCACTTATTACTCAGAATTCTGACTTATAACTCGGAATTCCGACTTATAACTCGGAATTCCGACTTATAACTCGGAATTCCGACTTATGACTCCTAATTCATAGTTATAACTCGGAATTCTTACTTATAACTCGGAATTCTCACAATTCCGAGAATATTAAAAAAAAGTGTGGCCCTTCTACGCTTCGGTAATTTGGCGGTACAAACGTTCCTAAAAATTTGCCTTTCTAAAAGCGTACTGAAAATTGCTACTGTCCCACTGTGGGCCCTATGCCCAAACTAGGTTGCAATAAGTCAATATTGAAAATGTATAATTTGTCACTATTGTTTTATTAAAAACATATTCAAACTTGTAAAAACATAATTGCTTTTTGAAAATACTCTA